ACAAAAAGATTTACCTTATTTTTTTTTTACTGGTTACCCATATCGCTTTATATACAGGATTTGTCCTACATGTATATTGCACTGATCATTTCTATAACTAGCCCAGACTGCTTCCCTAAAGCAAATCCTGCTGTAGTCACCATCTGAGAGCTACTTTGTGCACTTGCAAAATTGTAGGCTTCAAGGGCATGCATCATGTCATTTCTTCCTCCAGTGAACTGATTGGTTTTCATTTGTTTCTCTACCTTTCTACCTGTTTCTTTCCAACTACACAATCTGTAGCGTTAGCTTACTGCCTAAATTTCCTAGAATTAACGACACTGATAGGGGGACTATATAATGAATAAATTTTTTCCCATACAAAATAGCACTTATCAAAACCAAAATACATGATTAGCATGTTTTGTTATTTTCATTTGAGCTTTATATGCTCGCTCTATCTCTAGTTCAGAGGCAGTAAGAATTGAGTTTCTCTCTCCCTCTGCCCTTCTCCCATGTTCTGTCATGTTCCGCAGGTATCGGTGTATGTGTGCGTGTGTGTAAGACAGTGAATTGGTGGGGTTTGCATTTCTGTTTCATTTTGCCAGCATGTATCCTCGTCCTTGTTATATGGATGTTTTCCAATCAGAATATGACCTTTCCTTCTATAAAAAATCTACATTAATCCTCGGAGCTATTTTCCCTGTCATGCCATTTAAAGTGTACAATTCCGTGGTTTTTAGTGTATCTGCAGTTGTGCAACTGTCACCACAATCTGTTTAGAACATTTTCATCACCCCTGCAAAAAACCCTTCCTCTGTCACTGTCACCCCCCAAGTGCTCCCATCCCTCTCATGTCAATGTTGAAAGATATTCTTGCCCTCCAAAGCGGCTTATCCATCATATTCCCACGAATGGTCCATTGGATTCTACTTTCTCAGATCTTCCCTGTGTTATCAGAATATTTCATCTTTTGTAGCCTTATTGATGAAAGATCGTTTCTTACTTTGGTTTGCATATGCTTATTCAGGAACGGTGCTGACCATCATGACCTTTTGGCCATCTGTGTCACCTGTCTATGCAGTGCTTTGTAGACCTATTTTAAATAAAAGCAAACATATTGTCACTACTTTGTCCCCATCCACTGGTGCATGGGGTAAAGACCACAATGAAGTTAGTCCACCCAAATTACAGGAAAAAGAGCGTCCTCCGAGCAGGCCTCGGAATCCAGAAACTGTCCTGAGGCTACCTGTGTGTCCCCAGCCGTCATCTAGTGGTGTCCTTGTTCCTTCTGTCAGATGACTCCCATCCTTACCCAGTGTAGGTACAATTACAGCTCCTCTATTTGCCTCCATTGTTTTTTAAAGATTTATTTATTTATTTTAGAGAGAGAGCACACACAACCTGGGGGAAGGGCAGAGGGAGAGAGAAACTCAAGCAGACTCCGTGCTGAGCACAGAGCCTCATATGAGGCTCAGTCTCACAACCCTGAGATCATGACCCAAGTCGAAATCAAGATCCCGACTCTGAACCAATTGAACCACCCAGGCGCCCTTCTGTTTGGCTCAATTCGACTTTGTCTCAGTCCATCAACCACTATTTTTTTTCCAACCACTATTTTTTAAATGCACATTCTGTGGTCTTTGTTCTGTGCTATTAAAAAAAAATCTAGTCACCCCAGGAGGCAACTGGGTGGCTCAGTCAGTTAAATGTCTGGCTTCTGCTCAGGTCCTGATTCCAGAGTCCTGGGGTCGAGTCCCGTGTCAGATTCCCCAGTCATCAGGGAGTCTGCTTCTCCCTCTCCCACTCCCTCTGCCCCTCCCCTCTCTACTCATGCTCTCTGGCTCTCTCTCAAATAAATAAAATCCTTTAAAAATTTTTTAAAATTTAAAAATAAAATCCAGCCACCCCAGGATAAACCTGTCTTTATATACACACCTCTCACCTGGTCTCTGGATCCTGAGAGCCTTTTTTTTGTTTGTTTACCAGCTAAATTCCCTGGTGAAACCGCTAATAATTTTCCCCGGCTGGAGGGTCTTTGGGAAAAGCCAGCACTAGGCTAAAGCCAGGGAGCCAGAACTTCCGGGAGCAAGTGTTTCCCACTGCTACTTCCAGACCAGAGCCCCTTTGGCTGTTAGTTACTGTCAGGTCCTTTTTATAGGGACCGTAGCCTCCAGTGATCAGGCGTAAGGGAGAACCCTCAACCTTTTCCACCACGACCTCACTACCAGGCACCAGAAAGCCTCAGACTGAGTCTGTTATTCATGCTAGTATTTGTTAGCAGCCCCAGAAATCTGTCCCTTAGGTAAACCTTGCCCAAAAGATTGACTCTCAGTGGAGGTGACAACAATATTCAGGGGCATCCCGAGCGTATGTGACGCTCTAGATGGCTCATTCGTACATTGCTCCTTTATACCACGGATCACTTCCCGTATAACCTTGCAATAATCAGTAATAAGCATCATCTTCCCGACTCACTACACACCCAGTTGAAAAAGAAATTTCATTTTTATTGGTTAACATTCAAATGAGAATGCAATGCCGCTTCTGTGACGTTTCTGCCAAACACGCGTGACCCGAATCTAGTAATGAGGAATCATCAGACACAGCAAATTGATAGACGTTCTGGAATAATGGCCTTTAGTCTTTAATAGTGCCAAGTTCAGGGTGGCTGGCTGGCTCAGTCAGTTAAGCATCTGCCTTCTGCTCAGGTCATGATCCTGGGGTACCGGGATCGAGCCCCACATCAGGCTCTCTGCTCAGCGGGAAGCCTGCTTCTCCCTCTGCTGCTCCCCCTATTCGTGTGCACTCTCTCTCTCTCTCTTTCAAATAAATAAATAAATAAATAAATAAATAAATAAAATCTTTAAAAAAATAAAATAAAATAAAAGTGCCAAGGTCCAGAAAGTCCAGAACAGACCAAGGGTTGTTCCAGACTGGAGGAGAGTGAGGAGACCATGCACCTAAAGGCAACTTAACGATTCAGAACCGGATTATTTTTCTAGAAAGGATTTACTGGGACAATTGGTGAAATTTCAGTGGGCCTGAACATTGGATGGCACTACTGGATCAGGGTCAATGTCCTGATCTTAATGAATATATCGTAGTCGTGTGGGAGAATGTCCTTGTTTGCAGGGAATATACACTAAGGAATTCAGGGTTAGTGGGACAACAGGTAGCACCTTATTCTCAAATCGTTCAGGGGACAAATGTCATTTGTACAATCATTTGTCCTGTATGTACAAGTTTTCTCTGTGATTTTTTTGGAAGCGCAAAAATTATTTTTAAAAACCTCAACAGTAACTATAGCAATTGTTTGGAACTTAGGCCAACTTTTGTTGGGGAGGATTATTTTTCACTAACATTTTTCAAATTTGCGGTACCAGGTAATATTAAAAGGCAGAGAGTTCTCCGAGTCCGTTTGGTTATTGCTTTTAAATTCTCTAAGACAGTACGCTTTCTGATTTCCCACACCTGGAGGGGACAACACCCGCCATCCCACCCTGGGCTCCCCCAATTACCTTGGCAGATCCTGCAAACAGCTTCTCCAGACCACGCGTCGGAATCCTCCAGCCGATGCCAGGACCTGGGACCCTAGGCCAGGTGAAGCAGGAGAGCAGGAAGGCTGCTGGGGTCGGTCTTCAGCTGCTGGGCTGGCCAGCTGCTTACACACTGTTCTCATAGGGCAAGGGGTCTGCGTGCTGTCCAGCCAATCCACCACTCATCTTACCAGGGGAAGAATATTTTTAAACATCCCTATGCTGAATAAGAACGTTTTTAGAGCAGAATGTGACAAAGGAGCCTTTGAACTAGCTGCCTCTTTAGGGTGGGACTTCTGATTAGCATGTTTCAAATGCGGTCTCTCTTCCCCTGGGTGTGTGTTCCTGATCACCACCCCCCCCCGCCACACACACACACACACACACAAGGTGCAGATCCCATTTAGCTGGCATTTACACCGTTACGAAGTACGTGACCGTGTTTCCCCAGCATGTCGTGCAGAGCGGCGGGCGTTTGTGGAACGTACATGTTGTGTGTGAGCACCTTTCTGTGTGCGTGTGCTGAATGTAAGCAACTCCATGTGGCCTAAGCAGAGCAGATTGTCAGGCTGTTTTTCTCCTTCTTGAAAACAGTTAGCAGTGGAGGCAGCGATCTTTAAAATGGAAGCCGTCACTCCTGCCTGTAGCCTTAGGGAAGCACAAATGCTAAGCAGAGCAGGGGCAGGGTTGGGGCGACTGGGTATGGGCTGTGCCACTGTCCCCATCCCCTGCACAGAAAACACGCCACGGCTCTGCCGGGTGTCATGCCTACGCCAAGGGGTATTGAGCCGTTGGTCCTTCTGGGGGAGAAGAATGGTGGTTTGTGAAGCTCCCACATCCCTGCACTTTCTCTGAGATCGTCCCACCTGGCATTTCAGCCCCGAGGGAACAGCCTTCAGTATCTGCGTGTCCTCCCTCCCCTCTGTCCCCACTTCCCCACCCCCTCCCCATCCTTTCCCCAGCTTCCAGGGACACTCAGATCCAGACCTCAATGGACATGAGTCACCATGGACCTTGTAAAAAGTAAATCCTGAGTTCCTGCCCCAGGGGCTCTGACCCACTCAGCATGCCTAGTAGCGGGCATTTTTAACAAATACCCCGTATCTTGATGGCTGTGGTCTGTGGGCTCTCAGAGACGCCCTGCTGTAGTACAGGAACACAGGACTTGTGGTCAGAAAGCCCAAGTTTGCCTTCACAGCTCTCTCTCCGCACACCAGAGGAACCTTGGGCAAGTCCCATGAGCTCCCTGGGGCTCAGGTTCAACCTCAACACCCAGCGTCTGTTGTAAGGATCAAATGTGGTAGAGGGCAAAGCGCTTTGCAAACGGTGAAGCTCTCCAGAAGCAGGAGTAAGAGGAGCTCGCCCTGGTTGTGACGGTGACCTGGGTGATCCACCGGTGGGGATTAAAGACACTTGGGTGTGATGCCTTTGGTCCCGTAACCCATTGTTTAAAAGGGGTTATTCCCCCCCCTCCTCCCCCAGCCTTCCATACAGCCAAGTGCGAGAAACTACAGAAGGAGAAGGAGGACCTGGAGAGGCGGTTCGAGGAGGAGGTGCGGAAGCTGGGCTGGCAGCAGCAGGCGGAGCTGCAGGACCTGGAGGAGCGGCTGCAGTTGCAGTTTGAGGCGGAGATGGTACGGCTGCAGGAGGAGCACCACGCACAGCTGCTGCACGTCCGGTGTCAGCACCAGGAGCAGGTCAGTCGGCCTGGGGCTCTGGCTCTGCTGTCGGGACACACGGGTGCAAGGTGGAGGGGAGCCAGCGCTGCTTTAGCAAGAAGCCCCGCTCTAGGAGGTGAGCTTCTGGAAAGTTCACTCTCCGACCTCCTTTCTTCCTGCTGTCCCCTCTCTTCCTCCCCCACAGACACCCTGGCCTCCAGCTCCCTACTTCCCAGGCACACTCCCACTGGGGGGGGGGGGGGCGGGGAGTACTTTTCCCTCTGCCTGGAATGCTCTCCCTCCAGACTTCCATGGCTCCCTTTTTCCCTCTCATCCAGACTGTTCTCCAAAGTCACGTTCTCCGTGAGGCTCTTTGTTTCTCGAAATTTACAGCCCCTCCCCCACCACATACACGCTTTTTCTGCCTCCTCCCTACTCTAGCCACGTATCACTGTTGAACAACTATACATTTGACTCAGGTCCCCCGTTTCTCATCTGTATATTCCACGGAGGGCAGTGATTATCATAAGGAAATGCCCCTAGCACTTGTGATGCACCAGATGCTCTTAACTCTCTTCATATACTAACTCACCTAGTCCTCGCAACAGCCCTGCGAGGTGGGTACTGTGATCACCCCCATCTTACTGGTGAGAAGACCGAGACCGAGAGGTTAAATAACCAGCCAGAACTCACAGGGCAGGGCACAGAAAAGTCAGGGTGGAACCCAGTTTGGCTCTGGGGTCCCATGCCGTCCAGCACGAACTTCGAATTCTCGGCCAGGTCTATCAGTGCCTCGTGCCCTGTGCCGTGCCTGCCCTCAGCTCGCACCTGCTGAATGAGGGATGAATTCCTCTGGTTAACCTCAACGGGACAGTCTTGTTGGAGAGGGCAGTGCACCCTGGAGCAACTGGGGAGGGTTCCCGGGGTCATGCCCATCCCCTCAAGCCAGCTCCCCTCCAGGACTGCGGCTCTGGCAGCGAGACATGAGTCCCCTGAGAGCTAGTTCGGCTCCTGCCTCTGCTCTTCCTTCCAAGCCCCCAAGGTCCTGATCCCCTAATGCCCGCTTCTAACAGGTGTGTTATTTCACGGCGTCTGCCAGTGACATCGCTAAAGTAGACTGGCATTTGTGAAGAGTGCTCTTTGTATGTTGGGGCGTGTGCTGAGCGACCCTTCATTATCGTGAGTGTCCGGGCTGCTCTCCTCGGACACCTTCCAGACAGACATCCTGGACGGTAGTCCCCGGAGGCTTGTGAACGCAGAAGGCACAAGTGTCATTTCAGAGTATAATAAGCACTGCTGTTGTAATTTGAAATCTCCCACTGGACAGCCCTTTATTCAGTTTCTCAGGTTAGCGATCTCCTTTTCTAGAAGCCTGTGGAAACCAGACACACCTGCCTGCTTGAGGTGCATTAAACCCTGAGCCCAGGAAACAGAGCAGCTGGCAGTTAGGGTTACCCGCTGCGGCAAAGATCAGAAACTGAGCCCCAGCGTCTTGCCTCCTAAGCTTGCGGAGAAGTGCTCCCCTGAGCAGGTGTTCGCACCTGCTGCTGTCCACAGCCGTCCTGATTTCCTGGCCCCTCAGTACCTCTCAGATGCGTGCAGAGACCAACTTGTTCTGTGCCTCTGTATCCCTGGGCTGTTCATTCCCCGTTTTACACAGAACGTGTTTTAGGCCGGAGCCACTAAAAGATTTCTGATCTGCAGTTAATGGTTGGTTGAGAAGATGCCAGGAGGCAAGGAAGTGATCACCAGCGGGAGAAGGCGCCTGGAGGGAGTCCTCCGAGCAGAGGTCATGTCGGGGTGCTGTGTATGGGAACCACAGAGCTGAAGCCAGAGCTGAGTGGAGCCTGTCCGCTGGTGGGGCATTGTGGGGGTGCCTCACGGAGTTTCGCTGGGAGATGTGCTCTCACCTGGCCTCTGGGCTGGGCCACAGCAGCCTTGTAGAGATTTGATACTGGGAGGGATTGAAAAGAAAGAAGGTCCCGACTTTCCCCTTGAGAATGAGTTACATAAGCCACACATTTAAGATTTATCTTAAGGAAGGCTCTGAGTTCTGTTCTTCTCAATTCTTCATAAGAGCCAGAGATTCATTTATTCATTCATCAGTGCAAAGAATATTTAGCAAATGCCACTGCACTCAAGGCATTATGGCAGGCGACTGGGAGAGATACCAAGATACAGAACGTGTGGACTTGCAGGTTAGAGATCGGGGGCAGTTCTGAGTCAAGGACCCAAGAAACCGTAATACTGGGTGAGAATTACAGAGGGCGCATTTAGGAATTTAGATTACTTCCAGCTATAAGGAGAGGGGAAAGCTTTATGAGGGAAATAGCTTCTGAAGACTTTCTATGAGGGTAAACCTGACCTATGGAAACCCATTGGTTTGGGGGTGGGCGAGGGATGGCGATTTAAATCTATGAATTGTTCTGCTGCTATCCTGACCCTCCCCTTCTTCAGCAGAGAGCACGCAGGAGTGGAGAGGAAGATGAAATGCATGTCAGTCCTGCATTCCCAGTTTGCAGACAGAATCAATGCGGGTTGGTCTAGTGCGGGAGAAGCCTCAAGTGCATGACCGTCATGGAGATTTGGATGCTCTGGGGTGTGAACTACCCACGTGGGGATCTCCACACCCTGTGGGTCTTCCTTATCAGGCACAGCTACACTTGGCAATGCTAACTCCGCAGGTAGCAGCATGTCTGTGCTCCTGGAGCCTTAAAAACCAAGTTAACTAATCTGGCTTCTCCTCGTGCCCCAGTGCCCCAGGCTGGCAATGGGGAGGCAGTGTCAATTTCAACGTGTAGGATTTTGGGGGGCTTTAACTCAACTTAGGAACTCACTGCTAGGGCAGGCTGACCTCTGAGTTCACTGCAGTTTCATCCCGTAGCACAGATCCAGCCATCTGCTCACCTGGAGGGGCAAAGACTGTCCGTCTCTGCCTACACCTGAACTTCTGACAAAACACCCCTCCTCATCTTCACCCCACATGAGTTAAATCAGAATTGCTGAGGGGGGCTTGGCGTCATTGGTCTGTAAAAGCAGGGCCCCGTCCTGCAGTCTCTGGTTAGGGGCATGAGCGGGGTCAAGGGGAAAGCTTCTTGGCTTTCCTCGGTGACCTCCAAGATAGAGTAGGACTTTGATTTTAAAAGCAGGACTAAAAGGTGTTTCATTAAAATCAGCTCTCATTTTCTAGCTTGCTTCACATTAATGAAAGTCAGATCACCAAAGCTACCCTTTCTCGAAGCACACAGAGCACGCAGGACAGATTTTCATAATCAATGCACATGCTTTTCCCTGTGCGCCCCAAGCGTCATGGTTTCTCTGTCCAGCTTGCCGCCCTCCCTTCCGGGCTGTCTGCGGCTGTCCCCCATGGCTACTTAGCCACACAGCCTGGTAGCCAGTGACCAGATTTGTGACCTTTGACCCCAGTGCTCCCAGACCCTTCGTCAGTTTGTCTTACTCCCTGACCTGGCCCTGAAGTCACTCTTCTCAGGGGACCACTGGGTTCCTAGATGCATTATGGATTCCACTCAATAAAGTCTGAGCGGAGCCTTTTCTTGAGCGGCTGTGCTGGTTCTTCAGAGTTCCCACCAGCCTTGTCTCCTCTCCAGGACATACTTTCTACCCTTTCCTGGAAAAAAATCACCCTTTTAGACTAGCTGGCAGGCTCAGCCTTCCCCCACTTAATCAGGACCAACAGAGGCCACTTTGTCCATCATGTTGCATTACGTCGGTGGTGTGCAGTCGGCGTTCAGTGGCCAGCAGCAGAAACCACGCTGTCCCTAATCAAACCAAATGACGTCCCCGGGGGCCTGCCGTCTTCCAACACCAGAGCCCCTGCATGCAGTGGGGAGGCAGTGCAGAGAAGATAGGGCCTTCTGGGCAGCGCTGCCCACATGCTGGGCTGCGGAGGGGACAGCGACCCTGGGGACACGATGAAGTCACACTGGGCAGTCTGGCACTACTGGCTGCCTGCTCTGAGTCAGTGCCTGGGAGGCTGTACCAGGGTGGGAAGGGAAGGAGGGTCTTGTCCTTACCTAGAAAGGAATGTCAAGAGAGCCCTGGGCAGAGTAAACATGGGCCAGCTCCCTCTGTCTGACCAGCTATGAATGTAGAGTCTGGGGTGGGCGCAGATGGGAGTTGAATGTGGTTTGGGTTTAATGAGTGAAACTGAGGCTTCCTCATTCTAAAGGTCAGTCTTTTCGAGGTGAATTGCCAAAGCCTCAGACAACTGTATTTTGCAAATGGCCCCACAGCTGCAGTCTTACCCATCTGAGGGTGGTTTTTCCAAGCTTTTGCTCTGCTGTAATTCAGCCCCGCTGAGCCACGCAAGCAGCTGGGGGAGTGGAGCCAGCTGCAGGGAACAGCTGCCTCGGGGAAGGCCCGCCAGGGCTCTTCCAAGAGCACATCGATAGCCTCTTCTGTGGCTCAGCTCACAGCTCCCTCTGCCTGCTGGAGGGAGGAGGGTGGCCCAGGTATGGTTCAAGGGACCCCTACCCAGGGTTCTAGACAGAAAAGAAGTATGCTTCACCCAGCGTAAGTCTGCTGTGGACTGACCTAATTTTGTGCTTTTTGCCTCTGACTGGGTGATCTGTGTGCCCAAAATGATCTTGTATTTCCCTTGGTTCAACTTGTCTGAATCTCTTCACTGCCTTTAGAAGGTTTCCAGTCTTCTCAGGCTGAGAGACCTTACTAGCCGCTTTGGAGGGGGAGCCCGTGCTCCAGAAAGAAGCCAGGAGCCATGGGAAATGTCGTGGGGATTAATACCATGACGAGAAAGGGCATGCCAAGAGTGGACAGCCCCTTCTTTTCTCTATGCCTTAAAAACCATAAAGATGTATAGAACTTACTGAAATTACTAAATACTGAAGAGTAAGGATTATTGTGCCCAAATTTTGGCTTATTGGCTCCCTTCGAAACTGGGAGTACCTTCAAAACGGTACTGGGCATTCCATTCCTTGCATATGCCCTTTCCGAGTTAGGGACTTAGTATTTCATTCATAAAAGCACCTCCAAGAGGCCGTAACAGAGAGCTCGTGCCCTTACATCACCCTTCACATATTGGGGGCAGTATTTTATCATCAGTAAGTCAAAGACCCGCCTTCAAACAAACCAGAAGGGCGTGTGTTTAGCCACAAACATAACGTAGAATTGCCAGTCGAGCCATATTCAGCTCCGGGGGCACGCGGGACTCTTCTGGAACCTAGCCCTTGCATTCATCTGTCTTTCCTGAAACCAACCATGGCAATTTATATAAGAGCCTAATAAATTAGAACCATACCAAGAACTGATGGAAGTTGTTTCTTTACTCCAAACTGGGTAATGTAATTCCAAATACTGTGGAGTTACTTGTTTCTACAGTGTCCTATGGGCTTAACTGACATCAGTAATAAAGCAGAAAGAAAAGATATTTCCATTTTTTTCATTTTTTTAAATCAGTGATTTATTTTTCCAGGAGACTAAAAGGCTTGGGACAAAGATGCTATGTAAACCTCGTATAAACAGGAATTGGACAATTAAGTACTGTGGTAATCAGCCTTTCTGCCGAGTGCATTCATAGCTCTGAGCCTCAAGTAAAAGATTGTTTAATCAAGAGTGACCGGCAAATAAAAGCAAATCGTTGCATACCACTTCCGTTTGCATATGATTGGGCAGCTTTCCTCACATGGTAGAGTTCATTGTTGGTTTTGCCAGTGAAAAGTTCTCATTTTCCATAGGAGAGAGAAGTCCGACAAATTCTCCTATGCAATTACACTATCCAGAATGGGAATCCTTCCCATTTTAAAATAAAAATACTCTGATGCATCCACTTCCCAAGTGGGCATTCTTTCTTGGAGAGCCCTTCCTCCCTTCGAGTCAAAGGTCAGCCTGTGACTTAGCCCCAGAGAAAGGAAGGACTCTAAGAGATGGCTGGCTATTACCTGCCAGAAGCAATGTGTTCTTACCTGTCCGTCCAAGAGTGTCAGGCCCTGGGCCCTTTTCCTGGTTCAGTGTTTCTCAAATGCCAGACTTTGATACACTAGTGGGCCGCGAAATAAATTTCATGGCTTGCAACTAGCATTTTGAAAAACAAAGTGAGATAGAAATTTTAAGACCAGGTGATTTCAAGGAGGAAGGGAACCGGCTGTATCGTGGAACTTTGGTTTTGTGCGTGTGCCCATGCACAGTGCAAGGTATGGTGGTATTTTTTAACAATGGTTCACTGACAAAATATTTGGGAAAATGCTGTTCTGGTTTGCTACTGTGGGGCGGGGGTGGGGGTTGAAATTACTCCTTAAAGTCGGCCATTGGAGGTTAAAGCAACAGCCACAACAGTAACAAAAACAGTAAGCACACTGGGGGTGGGGCGGTTTGCAGAGATCGGGAGGGGTCAAAATAAAAATCCTGGAGCAGCCCCACTGCCTGTGATTACATTCTAGAAATGTGCCTTCAGCCAGAGAAACAGGTGGAGTTCCACATTGCCACGGCAGGGGGTGGAGGGAGTCCAAATTGCGATCTGGAGGGTAAGGTTACGGTGAAGTAGGGGTGCCGAGCGCACACAGATCTGGCGCTGGGGAGAGCATCCTGAAGCTCCGGTGGGGGTCTTGCTGGGGTAGGCTACAACGGTGTGTTTGAGAGAGTTTCCCCAGCAGGGTCAGACAGACCTAGGCAGGATGGGCAGCTCTGCCTATTACAAGCTCTTGGCAAAACATTTCAAACCCCTCTAAGCCTCGGTCTCCTTGTCTATAAAATGGGCATAAAAATACCTACTTCGTGATGTCACTGTGAGAGTTAAGCGCAGGAACCAATAACAGGTGGCTTAATGACCATTAGTTCCCTCCATTTGTCTTGTGTGCTGATGCTCCCACCTGCCACTGGGCAACAGAGAACCAATCATCCAGCAGAGGGCCCTCTTCTTTTCCTTATCTGCCATTTTCTCCATGATGGGTTCGGGAGAAGGAATGGGAGTGGGAAGGGTGTGGGCTAGAAGCCAGGCCTTGGGCAGTGAAGAGCTGGCTCAGGCAGCTGTCCCCCACTGGGAGCTGCCAGCCTCTTACAGACAGCTGGGCTGAGGCGGTGACTTCCCTGTAACCTCCCCCTGACTTAGGGGGCTACCACATCATCACCAAATCCTGGCTCCCCTGCCTTGGTGCAAGACCAAGATGGCTGTCACCTCAGCGAAATGGCTTGTCCTTGACGTTTTGGTCACAGATCGCTCTACTAGTTGAATACCAACTGCGTTCTCCAAGCTGCGAGGACACTCCTGCCACCCATTCCTCCATCTGTGTGTGTAACCATAGCTGTGTTCTCCTCCAGGTAGAAGATCTCACAGCCAGCCATGAGGCTGCTCTCCTAGAGATGGAAAATAACCACACGGTAGCCATTGCGATCCTACAGGATGACCACCACCACAAAGTCCAAGGTAGCTACCAGCCTCGATGTGGGTGGCCATTCATGGTGGGCTGTGCAAGCCAAGACGTTGCTGCCACCCTTCCTCTCTTGCTCCTCTTCCCGTTTTCCCTTCCTCTCCATCCTGGTGTGTCTTTTGTGGAAAGAAGAGATGAAAAATCCAGGATCCATCCAGGTAACTATTCCTCTCCTCAGAAGCATTTACTGTCAAACTTGCCCGGATATGAGAACCCCGAGGAGCTTTGCCAGGGGATGGACACCAGCCTGGGTCTCACCTGGGAATCCCATGTAGCTGCTGTGGGCTTCCTGAGATCATTCTAATGGGTTTCAAAGCTGGAGAACCACTCTTTCAAAGTAGGCCTGGAAATCCTGGGTTTTACCTTGTCTTGTAGACTTTTAAAACAAAATGATGACCCTGAGATGGGTGGGCTTTCCCCACACTTGGGGTGTGTTCAGGGCCACGGCAGAGTCCAGCTGGATCTAGGTCTCCATACCTCATACTCAGACACCACATTCCCCATGGAGTTCCAAATCTTTCTTTTTACATTTTTTGTAACTTTGAATGATCTTTCAATATGTAGAGGTTTTTTGTGGGTCGTGACAACAGTAACAACATCTACCATGTCTTACTAAGATTATTACTTTATGAAAGAAGCTTTTTTACACCTTTGACATGCATTTCCATTAGTATATATGATTTATTTTTCAATTTCTCTCCCCACCTCACCTTTTTCCCTAGTTAACTGGTTGTTAAAGCATATTAAAAGCAATAAAATTCAATAAATAGATTAATGATTTTTAAGAGTTTGAAAGTTAACATCGAGTTTGTTTTTTTTTTTAAAGATGTATTTATTTATTTTAGAGAGAGAGAGCATGAGGGGGAGGGACAGAGGGAGAGGGAGAGAAGATCTCAAGCAGACTCCACGCTAAGCACGGAGCCTGATGCAGGGATCTATCTCACAACTCTGAGAGCACGACCTGAGCCAAAACCAAAAGTCAGATGCTTAACCAACTGCGCTACCCTGGTGGCCCAACATCAGATTTTTTAAAATTTACTTTTAAAATGTTCTTTGTAAACCACAAAGCCCACTGTGCGACAATCAGTACTCATGTTTTGCTTCCCTCAAGCACCAGCCCCACCATCTTTGGGATTTATTAGTACATGAAAAAGTCCAGGCTGGAGGCAAGGAAGAGTACTTCCCTGAGAACTACTTAAATGTATTACCTATGTCCTGAGAGCATGTCTCCCACTTAGAGTACCAATCCCCACTCTTGGCTGTACATTGGAACTACCTGGGAATTTTTTTTTTTTTAAATACTGATGTGTAAATCCCACTGCAGAGATTCTAATTTAATTGCTTTGGGGTGCAGGCTAGGCATCAGGATTTTTAAAATCTCCCAAGGTGATTCTAACATCCAGCCAAATTGGAGAAACATTGTCTTAGAGCACAGTATTAAACATGGGACAAAATGTCATGACTGTAAAATAATGAAATTTATTATAGATACTAGTGATGGTTTATACCATCTCCAGAGTAGGTACTAGCTTTTTTCTTTTTGGGATCATCTGAAAGTGTCCTAAAATCCATCACTGCACTGTAGGAAAATGGTCTCTGGAAAGGGAATATGAATGGAAATAGTGCAATGAACCACAGTGTTTGTTGCCTTTTGCTTCTGTATTTTCATAAAAATAGACCTGGTAGAGTTTTCTGCTGAATGAAATCTCACTTAGATACCACATCCAAGGCATTTAAATGTCAAGGGAACGTAGGCATATTTAATGATAGATAAGAAATTTATTAATATGATCAGGGAGATGCTTTCAATGACTATTAAAACTAATCACGTAGACAGAGCCAAGTGGACCAGAAGCCTACATGGTTTTATGTCAGTGAAATCAGCACAAACTTTTTTTTTTCCCCAAATGTAAATTTCAGCTATAAACAACTGGATTTCTTAGAGACTTTTGCCATCCTTACTTAAAAGATTCGGGTCAGTGGAAACCACAACGTCTTTCCTAATTGCAGCTCATGCCAGCCAGAATGATAATTGCCGGCCTCCAGTGCTCTCCTGTTCTAAGCATGTGATCCCGGCTGATTAATGGGACCTTTCCTCCATGCAGTTATGAGATGAAAACAAATTGCTTGTGTAGCTAGAATGAGATGTGCTTCACCCAGCTAATAAGACTCTTTCCATCTGGAGGAAAATAGAATCCATTCACTAATAACTCTTACATGACATCTCTTTCTGCCTAACTTGCAAATTACTACTGGAATGACACTTTTCACAGCATGGAATTGTTCCCAACTCTCCAAGAGGAACCAGTCCAATTAGTCCTTCCTCTGTCCGAGTGTCTTAATATCAATTCTTTTCTCAAGCAAATCTTTGAGATCTGTGGTTTCCAAAGTGTGGCCCAGAGGCCACCAAGGTGTCCTTGCAGATGCAGCCCTGGCCCCCTTCACACAGCTATTCCCCAGCAAGCCCAGGCTGGCAGCATGGCCGCTCACAGCAACACGCTCCCTGGAAGGCCGCCTTCTTTAGCCCCAGATTGCTGCATCATGGTGGAAAGGGGGGTGATTTAATATTGATGACTCAGCTGTTCTACCTGAGGAAAACTTGGAGAATGACAAGTATTGTGGAGATAGATATGGATAGATACGGAGTGGTGGCAGAGCAGGTTGAAAGAATGGGTGTGCATGTGCTCGTGCGCACGATTGTGGCTTTTTTTTATTATTATTTATTTTTTTAGAGGCAGTGGGAAAGGGGTGGAGGGAGAGAGAGAATTTTAAGCAGACTCCACGCTCAGCATAAAACCCAACGTGGGTCTCGATCTCATGATCTTGAGATGATGACCTGAGGGGGAATCAAGAGTTGGACGCTTAACCTACTGAGCCACCAAGGTGCCCCTACACGATTGTGTTCTGTCTGCTTCCCTCCCTCATTTCTTTCCTCTTTCCCTTCTTTTCCTTCTTTGTTCTAGTCTTTGCATTTGATTTCCAAGTATGGAGCTATCGGCCAGTGTCCCTTATTTACCTACATCCTAAGTCTGGCAGAGTCTTGTTTGATCCTTTTCAAAGGACCAACTTGACTGTCTGATCTCTTCTCTACAGAACTGATGTCTACCCATGAGCTTGAAAAGAAAGAATTGGAAGAAAATTTTGAAAAGCTGCGGCTGTCCTTACAGGTTAATATTCATTCTCTTAACTCTAATATCTAGATAAATGCCGACATTGACCCAGCATCTACTGTGTATTGGATTCCATACTAAGCGCTGGATTATAGAGGTAAATGGGACAGACTCCCTGCTCTTTGAGAAGTTACTGTCTGCTCAGACAGCTGTGACCTGAACAGTGACAGACAACACAAAAGGTAACACGGACGTACACCCCATGAATGATACCATTAGTGAGCACACAGGAGTTCCAAGACACTGCTCCCCACTTGCCATGCTCAGAGGGGCACCTGAGCTGTGTCCAAACGAAAGGGAGGACTTGAGGAGGAGAACATTCCAGGCAGGGGGAATAAAGGGGTCATTCATAGCATATGTTCTGGGAATTATAAAAGGGGCTTTAATCACCTGGAGGTGGGTGAGATGAAAAGAACCTTCTTTGCCTTCCACTGCCCACCTGCAGAAAACGTGGGTCTCAGAGGCCAGGGAGCTGCCTGGCTTCCTTCTGACCTCTACGGGGAGAATGACTGCTCTCAGCAGTCACATGCTTCTCCCTCCTTCCTTCTGGAGACCCAGGCCACGCCCACCCATAGGGCGGAGCCACCTGGGAAGCAAGGGCAAGGTCGGTGGCCTGGCTTCCATTCCCAACTAAGGCTGCCTCAATTATAACAAGATTATTTGTTAAATATTAGGAGCACTCACATCTGGAAATTATGGAAGGTGATGACTAAAACTGTAAGACAAAGGTAGGAATTTTGCTTCTTTGAGGGCGTACTTTCCCCTGGCAATGTTCATTGCACAGAGCCTGCTCTCCAAGAAAAGAACCCAGGACTGTGGAGCTAACCAGTGTCACAGCTACTGAATGTACTATGCAGACGTTTTAAAATGGGCAACCACCTGCTGTGAGCCCCCCCCCAATCCCCTACCTCTCCATCCATCCGTCCGCTGATGCTTCTGCACTATGCCCGAGCAGTCCTCACATGGCTCAGCTGCAGCACCTAACCCCAAACTGCCTTCGTGTGCCCCACATCCCATACCATCAGATGCACTCCCCGCCAGGACATAAACCAGGACCACACCATGATGTAACAAACCCCTCCAGTCCCAAAACCAAAAGAAGTGAGAGTTTTCTATCACATGTGAGTCTTCACTCTGCCACTAACATTGAATTGTCATGAACTGTACACAGTTTGGTTGTAACGTTCCATGGGCAGAATTCATCTGGGTTGTTTGGTACAGAGAGGATGGGATTGTTTAAGTCAAACTTTCTGGGCTCCTGGTGGGTAGGGAAACAGGTCTGGGGATAAGAGATGTGAGCTTTGAGTTTAAATGCCCAGTGTACCTCCTCTTAGTAGCTTTGACAGTCACATAAGCTCTGTAAACCTTGCTTTACTCATCTGTAAAATGGGGGCGTTAACAGTACATTCCTCAAGGTGTGAGCGGATTAAGGGAAATAACGGATGTAAAGTGCAGAGCATTAGGTTGGCTCACAGTAGATGTTAGTAAGGAGCTGCTGTCGCTGTCATAATAGTTTCAGCACTGTTACATTTACTGCTGTTACTGTCACGCCGCTGGTTAATTCCTGAGTGGCCCTTGCTATGCTGGGTCACCAGCTGGGCCTTTCTGCCTCTCCACTGGACTCAAAGGAGCCACCCCAAGCTGAAAAACAGTCTCTTCTGCCTGATTGCTGGGGGGCACCATTGTGTGCCTGTGGATCTATTTTGAGTCCTGGTGAATAAGGCAGAAAAAACACACTTTGACATTTTAGATCCATCCCAGGGGGCGTTGGCCAGATGCGTCTTTCATTGTTTTGACAGCGTGGACAAGTCTGGTGTGGGAGCCAGGTAGTGGTACAGCCGTGTGTAGTCCCGTTCTAGAAGGTGACCGCACCACCCAGGGACTGTGCTAGACCCCAGCCGGGGTTGCACTGGGCTGGGATCTACATTCCCCAGCTCCCGTGTGTGCAGACTGCCCATGATAACTCTGTCGCCCTAATGCACCAGCCTTTGTGTTTAATGACACTGTGGGGGCTTTTCTTTTTCTTAAAAATGAAATCGGAAGTAACTGGAAACAAAAAAAAACAAAACAAAACAAAAAAGGAAATAAAGAAAGAAGGAAAAGAAAAAAGAGGAAAAAGCACCTGCCAAAGATGGTTTGCAGAACAGGGTCCTCTGGTGAGATGGAGAAAGTAGGCAAGCCAGGGCTTCCTCCAGGACGGGGTTTTTATGTGGGATTACATAATTTACAACACCTCGCTCTTAAAATGAGGGGGATGAGGCCGTTTCTGTTGTCAGAAGAGTTCCTGGAGACCGTAAGTCCCTTCATTTTAATGTCACAGAAACGGTGTCGTGGGCTGGAGAACTTTGGGATACTCCGTGCAATCGAGGCACCATCTAGCATCGCGAGAAAACCCACTGCCTGGCATCCTTTGCTGGCCGGTGGTGATCAGGCGTTGCTGGGGTAGCCAGGGAGGCTGAGGGCAGTTGCACCTGCCCCAGCAGCCAGGGCAGGAAATGGTTCCTCCTCGGACTCACCGTCATGTTCTTAGCCTGCACACAGAGAGCTGCCCCATGGCTGGTGTGTGCCAGGGGCCAGCAGTGCTGGTGTGACTGGGCAGATGGTCTACACAGGAGAAAAGACTCTGCTCCCCTGGTGGCTCACACCAGGGACATGCAGTCCAGCCCAGAGTCCCGGAAAGGACGAGGGAGGCCAGAAGTGAGCAGAGAAGGACAGAGAGCTGGCCAGCGGAGGCAGTGCTCGTGAGAGAGCTGGAATGTCGGGTGGGCAGGGGTTGCAGTGAGAATGGAGCTGGGAGGCAAGAGAGGCCAATCAGGAGATATGTGAACATTGTGTTAAATATGCACTTTATCTTGATGTCCATGGGGTCTTCCATGGAGGGGGGCGACGGGTTCGGGTTTGCACTTTAGAAAGGTCCTCCTGCCTCCACCCTGAGGGCAGAAGAGTTATAACCCAGATACAGAAAAGGGCAGCAGTGGGGCTAAACTTGAGGTAGAGGGAGAGGGACCGGGAGAGTTCATGGACTCCATGGGCATTCAACAGGTGGAATTGGAAGGACTCGATCCTTGACCCCCAAATCAGTGTGTCTGGTGGTGGGAGGAGGGGTCTCAGGCAGAGAGGGAAGTCAAGGTTGGTTCAATGCTTTATAAATGAGGACAGTTCTTCTTTGAGATGGATAGATTGTTCGTCCTCAAGTCGGGGACTAGATGCGTCTCTCTGCTGGGAGTCTGCCTCTGTGAGGTCAGGGATTGCGTTTTCGATGCCTCCCTCCAGCAAGCTGCTGATTTGGAGAGGAAGGGCAGCACACTCATGTTGGGAGGCACCTTGAAGTCGAGCCACCTGCTCTGAGTTCTCCCACACCCCAGGGTCAGGACGCTTCATGCTCAGCCTCAATGCCACATGATGCCCTCTTGGTGATGCCCGTGGGACAGGCGATCCAAGCAGCCTCTGATCTCTTGACCCCGAAAAGAGTGCGCCGGGCCGGATAGCCCTCCCCTCACAGCTGCCCAGGCCACTGTGTCTGCGGTGGACTGAGCTGGGCTCTTGTCATTCCCTGCAGGACCAGGTAGACACGCTGACCTTCCAGAGCCAGTCTCTGCGGGACCGAGCCAGACGCTTTGAGGAGGCTCTGAGGAAGAACACGGAAGAACAGTTGGAGGTAGTCATGTTCCCCAGGCCTCATGGCTTCCAGGGGGGTCTCACCCCAGGAGTCCCCTCAGCGGTCTCCCCTGGAGACCAGACCTCTGTGTGGATCTGTGGCCGGAGTGACAGCCGGCCAGAAGAGGTCCCTGTCAGTACCTTGTCTGTGTCTCTTCTGACACAGAAGACAGCTGTGGGTTTCTCCAGTGACATGTTATCTTTGCCAGATGGCACACTGCTCCCCAGCTGCTGTCCCTGAGCTCCTGGGAGCTCTGCACCCCAGCCGGGACCCCCCTTCCGCTCCATTCTCCCCCAGCTTTGGTTACGCTGGCACAGGGGGCACCACTCACACCTGCCTTAGTTGGGGGAGTGGAGTGATTTCCGGAAAAGCTGGCAAAACTCCCTCCCACTGATGGACGGTTGCCAGATAAAATGTGTGACACCCAGTTAAACTTGAGTTATAAAGAGGTGAATTTTTTTAGTATAAGTATATCCCATGTAATATTTATACTTAAAAAAAAAAGGTGGTTTGTTGGGAACTCTTGACTCAATGTCCTATATTTTGTTGTTGTCGTTCTTGTCATTATACCCAGCAACCTCACTGTAGCATTTCTTTTTCTAAAGTGCCTTTTCTGCTTTTTCAACTACTTTGCTCCTTTCCCCTGCAAGGATGCCCCCACCCCCACTCTGCGTGGGCCCAGGGGAGACCTGCAAATCACAACTTGTCTGGTGAATCAAGCAGTCTGGGTCCATGTTAAAAGCTAGTGATGAATTTAGTCTTTTGACCCCAGGGGCTCCCATTGGGGGATGGGCTGGTAACATCCAGCCCTCCCCGAATCCAGACTTTTTGGTGGATGATGGCTTTACCTCTCTCATTCCCCAGGGAGCTGGATTTCTCCTAGCATCTCCAGTGGGAAACCAGTGAGCATCTTTATCAGGGAAGGCTGTGAGTGCCTAACGGGAAGCTTGCTACAGAAGGCTAGATTTTGCTGAATTCATGGCACTGGGGAATAGTGGGCTTTTGCTGGGCCCCCTGGTAAATAGCTCTTGTTCTCCACTGTTGTAGATCGCATTGGCTCCCTATCAGCACTTGGAAGAAGACATGAAGAGTCTGAAGCAGGTATTAGAGATGAAGAATCAGCAAATACACCAGCAGGAAAAGAAGATTATTGAGCTGGAAAAACTGGTGAGTCAGCCTGCCTCCTTGGGAGAGCCCCAGTAACCTGAATGGTATGCCATGTGGGCATCACAGATATCCTCACTCACGGTCTGCAGAGGCTGGGCCCTTCCCTGTCCATCCCTTACACCTGAGCAGAAAATGCCATGGCTGAGTCTCAAGACCTTTCTTAGGAAGCGAGGAATTCTGATAAGGAATCCGAGGTGGCCTTGTACTGCACAACTGGGCAGCCCCCCTAACTGCCGCTCCACCCCCGTCCATCCCTTCTCCCCTGGGGGACTGCTGCTTCCTCCCTCCTCCCTGAGAGGGACGGGTGGTAAGCCAGCGTACGTGCAGCATCACGGAGGTGTATGCCAGGCACTGCGCAAACCACTTTAAGTCTTTGTTCTTTAATCCCAGACAGCAATCCACTGGAGCAGGTACCATCCAGAGGCTCCTTTCATAGATTCAGATGCAGAAGGAGGTCTAGGCAGAGGGTGCATCTCACCCAGAGGGTGGGAGTCCAGGCCCAGGCCCCGGTGCCTGGTCTCATAACCCTCTGCCTCCCCTTCAAGCTGGCTTCCGCAGAACTAGCAAAGGCACCTCTTTGGGGAAATGCAGCCCCCCTGAGCTCACTCCCCTCCCCGGCAGGCACAAGGGTGGTGCAAAAGCTAAGAGCTGGAGACAAGTCATTCGAAGTTGGTAGCAGAGCAGCCAGCTTGCAAGGAGACACCATCTTGATGCAGAGGTTGGCCTGAGGGTCTCAGACCTTTTTTCCCCTTTTTTACTGTTATATTTAAATATAAGTTGATGCTATAAAAAGAAAAGACATGCATTATGAAAATTCGAAGATAAACAAAATCAAGAAAGTTAGAATGTATTTCCAAGTGCTGTTAGTACTTCCCAGAACTTTTCCTTGGTACTATGGACATGCCCCACACAGGGAGAACTTTGTATTCTGCTTTCTCCCAGCCAGCAGATCTTACTTGCCCTCTCAGTCACAGATCATCTCATCTACCTTGTAAAGTTCCCGGCTTGTGTCTGAAATACCCCTTGAAGCTGGATTTCTCAACCCTGGAGCCGGTCTAGATGCACCTGTTGAATTCGGTTGTCATGTCCCCTTTTACTCTAGCACCCCCACTCCTTGCAGACGTCTCATACCGCACGTGCTTATCAGGTAGGATGGGGGCAGACAGCACTATGGCTGTCAGTAACCAGCATCCTGGGCTGTGGTGATCCTGTGGTGCCTCCCAACAGCCCAGAGTTTTCCGGCAAGGTCCGAGCCCTGTCCTTCCCAGCCAGGCCCACAAAGGGACCGACGACCCTCCTCCTCCAGGCTGAGCCATCCACATTCAGTGGTCTAGTCCCCCACAAACTTTAGGGCTTATTTGGCTGGTTTTTGCCATGTTCCAGGCATTCTGCAACCATGCATGACTTCTCCTTCTAGAAACCTTTCTAGGCATAAAGAAAGAAGCAGTGTAATCACTTCCCATTTCCTGGGAGCAAAGATGAAGGCTGTAGGGAAGTTTGTGGGACAGAGCCCAGCCCTTTGGCTCTGACCCCTAGTCCTGGTCCTGGAAGGGTAACAGTTCTCCTCAAAGATTAAGACCCAACCGTGAATTTGTCATTTTCTCTTCAAGAAATAATTTATTTCTGGGCGGCTGGGTGGCTCAGTTGGCTAAGCAACTGCCTTCGGCTCAGGTCATGATCCTAGAGTCCCGGGATCAAGTCCCGCACCAGGCTCCCTGCTCAGTGGGGAGTCTGCTTCTTCCTCTGAACTCTCCCCTCTCATGCTCTCTCTCTCTCTCTCATTCTCTCTCTCTCTAATAAATAAATAAATAAAATCTTTAAAATAAATTAATTATTTATTATTTATTTATTTCCAAATTTATCTTAGAATGGGACTGTACTTCCACAAGGCCCTAAGGGACACACAGACAGAGAAAAAGGCCTAAATTGCAGGAGAATAATAGCCATGGAAAATGTTATTTTTGGATCATGTACCAAGCCCATCTCAGGTTTCAGGTTCCTGGCTGCCCATACCCTCAGAAGGAAAAAAATGTGTTCACGTTATTTATATTTCTATCCCTCCGTTAATTCAGAATGTCCTATCGAGCATACACGCCAGGGCCAGGGAGGCCGATGCTATGCAGTTAACTGTCAGGAAGAACCAGGGACCATCAGCCACACTAGGTCCTGATGGTGTCCACTTACGTCCGACAGCTTGTCTCTGACTGCAGGGTCACACACTGTAAGAAACATATTCTAGGGGCGCCTGGGTGGCTTAGTCAGTTAAGCGTCTGCTTTCGGCTCAGGTCATGATCCCAGGGTGCTGAGACTGAGGCCCAAATTGGGCACCCTGCTCAGTGGGGAGTCTGCTTTTCCCTTTCCCTCTGCCTGCCACTCCCCCTACTTGTGCTCTCTCGCTCACTCTTTTTTTCAAATAAATAAAATCTCTAAAAAAATGTATTCTACACAGGAACCTGATGGATACACACACACGTATATGAAAAAACATGTATAGCTAAAATATGAATAAGAAATACTTTTACTATATACAATGCACTCTGATATTTTGTTTTATTTTGCTTAAAAAAGAAATGCTACTCACGTCTCTCTAACTTGATTTTACAACCCACTAATACATTGCAAACTGCAGTTTGCAAAGCACTGTTCCTTTTTTTTTTTTTTGGAGATTTTATTTATTTATTTGAGAGAGAGAGCAAGCGTGCGAGCAGGGGGAGGAGCAGAGGGGGAGGGGCAAGCAGACTCTGGCTCAGCGGGGAGCCTGACATGGGGCTCCATCTCATGACCCCAAGATCATGACCTGAGCCAAAATCAAGAGCTGGACACCCAACCCACCGAGCCACCCAGGTGCCCCACAAAGCACTATTCTTGATAATCCTCCAAAGGTCAGAAGCCAAGGGCACTGGTCTTTTATCTTTGTCGTGGCCTCACTGAGAACCTCTTATCACTGCTTTCTTTGTAGGCAGAAAAGAACATTATCCTAGAAGAAAAGATCCAAGTTCTCCAGCAGCAGAATGAAGACCTCAAAGCAAGGATTGACCAGAACACCGTTGTCACAAGGTAGGTGGGCCTGGGTGTCTGAGCTTAACGAAGCGCGTATCACCTACAACGTGGCTTTGCTCTTGAGCTCCTGGGAGGGCTCTGTGTTTATTCCGGCATCCTCTGCGTCTCATTCCTCTGAGCTGGGAGGCTTCCCCCCACACAGGCTCTTGGCATGTTGCATAGGAAGATGAGAAGAAAACAAGCCGCGGGGACCACCTTGGGAGAAATGAGCAAAATTGGCAGAAGCGTGCGGCAGGGGCCTCCAGTACAGCTGAAAGGCGGAGGGGTTATTTCTGGGGAGTTTGGAGAGAGCTGCCCAATGGGTGTTCCCGTACGAAAGAGAAAAACCACATGAGCCGAAACCACACTCCGTTTGGTCCCTGGTGCAGAGCAGGGTGGAGCCCTCAGTTGCCAAGTGGTGGTCCTGGGGCAGCCTGGCCAAGGCAGTGAGGACGGCAGGGAGTGACCAAGCCAGTGAAGCCTGCAGCTGAACGCAGCTGCTCTGAGTAGCCCCGTTCCCATCTCCATCCCTGCTCTGCGGGGCTGCAACCTTCCAGGAAGGATGCGGGCGTCCTCCCCTCTGCTGTCAGAGTGAAGTCAAGCAGAATCTGGGCTTGATCAGCCAGCTGCCGCTTCCAGACAGGCTTCAAAGCTTCTGTGGTTCCGGTTCCAGACCACCGCAGTCAACAAGTATTGCAGTGAAGCCATCCAATGACTTTCCCCCCAAATGAATGGTTTCTCGGTACAGCGAACGGTCACATTTACACTATCCTAGAGTCTACTAAGTGTGAAATACCGTTATGTCTAAAGAAGCGATGGACGCACCTTCATTTAAAAATACTTCATTGCTAAAAAAAGGCAAGCCGTCATCTACACTTCCAGCGAGTTGTCACCTTTTTGCAGGTGGAGGGTCTCGGCTCACTGAGGATGGCTGCTGACTGATCCGAGTGGGGGCTGCTCAAGGCTGGGGGGGTGGTCTGTGCCAATTTCTTAAAACAGTGAAGTTTGCTACATCGCCTGACTCTTCCTTTCACAAACCACTCCTCTGTAGCGTGGGATGCTGTTTGGTAGCATTTAACTCACAGCAGAACTGCTTTCCAAGCTGGGGTCAGTCTCTGAAACCCTGCGGCTGCTTCTCACTAAGTTGATGTAAGATTCTAAATCCTTTGTGGGCACTGCAACAGTCTTCACAGCATCTCCATCGGGAGCAGATTCCAGCTCAAGAATCCACTTTCCTGGCTCATCCATGAGGAGCAGCTCCTCGTCCGTCCAAGTCTGATCACGAGACGACAGCGATGCGGTCCCATCTTCCCGCCCCACTTCTAGCTCCAGTTCTCTTGCTGTTTCCACCACCTCTGCGGTGACTGCCTCCGTGGATGCCCTGAACCCCTCCAAGTCCTCCAGGACGGTGGGAACCAACCTCTCCCAAGCTCTGGTGAATGTGGATACTTTGACCTCTTCCCATCAATCATGAATGTTCTTAATGGCATCTCAAATGGTGAATCCTTTCCAGAAGGTTTCAGTTGTCCAGTCCATCAGAGGAATCGCTGTGTATGGCTATAGGCTCACAGAATGTGTTTCTTAGAGAATAAGACTTGAAAGTCAAAGGTACTCCGTGATCCAGGGGCTGCAGGATGGCTGTTGTGTCAGCGGGCATGACAACGACGTTCATCTCATACGTCCCAGTCAGAGCTCCTGGATGACCTGCTGCGTTGTCAGGGAGCAGTCGCATTCTGATAGGAATCGTTTTTCTCAGCAGTAGCTCCCAACAGGGAGCTCCACATGTTGTAAACAGATGTGCTGTCATCCAGGCTTCGTTGTTCCATTTCTACAGCACAGGCAGAGTAGGTTGAGCGTAATTCTGAAGGGCCCTAGGATTTTCGGAATGGTCAGTGAGCCCCGGCTTCAGCTAAAGTCACCAGCTGCGTTAGCTCCTAACGTGAGAGTCAGCCTGTCCTCTGAAGCTGTGGAGCCAGCACTGACTTCTCCTCTCTAACTCTGAAAGTCCTTGACGGCATCTTCTTCCAGTAGAAGGCTATCTTGTCTACACTGGAAACCTGCTGTGGTGTGTAGCCGCTTTCATTGCTATCATAGCTGGACCTTCTGGAGAACTTGGTGCAGCTTCTCCCCCAGCCCTTGCTGCTTCACGTTGTATTTTCTGTTACGGAGCTGGTTCTTTCCTTCAACCTCATGGACCAGCCTCTGCAGCTTCAGACTTTCCTCTACAGCTTCCTCACCTCTCTCAGCCCTCCCAGAATCACAGAGACCTAGGGCCTTGCTCCGGGTCAGGCTTTGGCTTAAGGGAATGTTGGGGCTGGTTTGCTCTTCTCTCCAGGCCACTCGAACTTTCTCCATATCATCAGAAAGGCTGTTTCACTTTCTTATCATTTGTGTGTTCACTGAAGCAGCACTGTTTTTTTTTTAAGATTTTATTTATTTATTTGACAGAGAGAGATCACAAGTAGACAGAGAGGCAGGCAGAGAGAGGGAGGGAAGCAGGCTCCCTGCCGAGCAGAGAGCCCGATGCGGGACTCGATCCCAGGACCCTGAGATCATGACCTGAGCCAAAGGCAGCAGCCCAACCCACTGAGCCACCCAGGCACCCCTGAAGCAGCACTTTAAATGCCCTTCAAGAACCTTTCCTTTGCACTCCCGACTGGGCTGCCTGTTTGGCACAAGAGACCCCAGCTCTCAGCCTATCAACGCTCTCAACGTGCCTTCCTTACAAAACCCTGGTTTAAAGGGAGAGATGTGCCACTCTTCCTTTTACTTGAACCCTTAGAGTCCACGGTCAGGTTACTTACTGGCTTAACTTCAATATTGTTGTGTCTCGGGAAATAGGGCGACACTCAAGGAGAGGGGAGAGCCAGGGGGAAAGCCTGGTCGACTGAGCGGTCAGAACACACACATTCATTGGTTAAGTTTGTGATCTTGTACAGGTGCAGTTCGTGGCACCCCAAAACAATTACAGTAGGAACCTCAAAGATCACTGACCACAGATCAGCCTAACACATATAACAAGAATGAAAAAGTTTGAAATATTGCAAAAATTACCAAAATGTGACTCGGAGGCGTGAAGTGAGCCCCCGCGCGCGCTGTTGGAAGCTTGGCGCTCACAGCCACGCTCTCCTGAGGGCCACCACAAACCTTCAACTTAGAAAAAAAACACAGTGTCTGCCAAGTTTCAGTAAAGTGAAGCCTGGTACCATGAGGTGTGCCTGCATTTTGTCCAGGAGGACAGAGCCCTCTCTGCGAGCCCCGCGCCCAAGCCCTGGCCCACTCCTCAGCTGTACTCCTTATTGGATCCACGTGGGTCACTGGGGGAAGCACACACTTGTGCACACACTCACACACATCCTTGTGTTTCCTGTCACACACATGCACACTCGTGTGCACGCTCTCAGACTTGCATGGTCATGCTCCCTCGAATGCACGCATGCTCTTGTGTGCACCCCCCTCCCAGGTCCCTTACACACATTCACACACATTGCCCTACAGCTGAACTCGGGATGTTGGCGGCCCATTCCCATCCTAGAGGGTCACAGGGGAGACCATGTAAGGGGAGCAGGTCTTTCCCCCCACTTTGGCAGGAGGGCTGGAGCCTCTGCTCTACCTGAGCCACTGTGCCTCCCCAGGAAATCACAAAGGGTGCCAGTCCAGGCTTGATCCAAGTGAGCTGGCTGCCCGGGCTAAGTCCACGCAGCTGCAAAATACATATGGGCTTCTCCCTCTCGGTTCCCCACAGATGCTGTCATTTATAAAAAATATGACAAAGCGAGCAACTCACACTTGACTCACACGGATGCCTTGATTCGTTTTTCATTTAGCACATCCCTTTCTCAACAAACATCAACTGAGCATCTATTCAGTGCCAGACACCCGGCTGGACGCAGGGGATTCAAAGAAGGCAGCTCTGGTCCCTCTCCCTGGGGGCTTCCGGTCCAGTAGGCAGGCAGGTGCACAGATCAGCCTTTGCAGCCAGGGAAGGCAGTGCTATCATGGAGACCCCAACCAGGGGCAGGGAGGCCAGGAGGGGCCCTGAGGCCGACGGCACCGTCCCCGTGCTGTCCTCAGTGTCCTCAGTGTTGACTGCCACTCTCTCCCAGCCTCCTGGTGGCACACCCACACCAGCTCCCCACCTCCCTACTTTCCTCTTCTGCCTTCAGCATTTGCTCTGTCCAGTGGACAGCTAGCGCCTCCCCTGATGGGGCAGAGGGACAGGGAGTCTATTGGGAGCAGATGTGTTCCTGGGATAAGTGGAAACCACGCTTCGGCCCATGGCTCTTGGTCACCGCAGTCCCACTTGTCCCTGTCCTCCTGCAGGTACCTACCGCCTCCTCCCTTGCCCTGAGCCCACCGGCCTGGTGAATCTCACGATCAGTGCCCGCCGCCCCCCCGGCCCCCCGCAGCAGGATTGCTACCTGACTGTTTCTTGTTCTCTTCACGCAGACAACTGTCGGAGGAAAATGCTAATCTCCAGGAATACGTCGAGAAAGAAACCCAGGAGAAGAAGAGATTGAGCCGAACCAACGAAGAGCTGCTTTGGAAGCTCCAAACGGGGGACCCAACGAGCCCGGTGAAACTCTCCCCCACGTCCCCCGTTTACCGTGGCTCCTCCTCGGGGCCCTCCTCTCCCGCCAGAGTCAGCACGACGCCCAGATGACGCCGCACCAAGCAGCCTGCGGGAGCCGTGGCTCCCGCGAACCCCGAGCTTCCACCCGGAGGGAGTCATGACCCGGGGCCCGCCCCTGGCGGGCCCTGCGCGCATGCTCAGTAGCTGCACAGCTGCGTCCTAAGCAAAGTCCTCTTCTGATCCTCATATAAGACTGCCCTGGTGTTGGCACTTAGGAAAGCGTAAACAGTAGTGTCTGGTGTGCAAACGTTTGACCGTAGTTAGAGCCAAAAGAAAGAAACTCCCAGCTGTTCTCGAGCAATGAACTCTCACTGCAGAATTTCAGGTTAGTTACAAATAGCTCAGTTTTGAATATACATTGAATTATCATGTGTACTGCACCGATCTGTGTGTATATTGAGATACACGTATATACACATGCAGCGGTTCTGAATTGCATTTTTTTATAACATGATGTGCTGACATATTTTGGTGAAGGTCAGCAGTTTTCTAACTTGTGCCTAAGAATTATTGGGATATGAAAATGCATTTCTATCTAGCTTCCCAGGAATATTTCTACCCAAAATAGAAAAAGGAAAAAAAAAAAGATACAAAGAAGAAGCGCCTTTCCGCCTACCACGAAGTGGTACTCTAACACAAACACCAGCGATTTGTGAACGGTAACTGCCTTTGGAACAGTCTGCTTCTTAGTCAACATGATGTGAGGTCACTACTATTCCATTTGCGAGTTTTAATTATTAATACTCCTGTCGTGAGTGCCTAAAGGACAGCAGCAGGAAGCCCTGAAGGGTTTAGCAGTTTTGCCGATGATACGACAGCGAATCACCCAGTCTTGTAAACACAGGTTTTGCTTTTTTCCTAAGTGGCATCTTGGAATCCATCATGAAGCTACTACACCCTCCGGAAAATATGGAGGAGCATGACCTTCTGGAGTGAGGGTGAGGATGACCTTGGAGTTGGCCAAGACCGTCCGTGCTCCATCCTCCAGAAGGGAAATTGCTGATAGGATCTGTATTCGGACGGAGCACAGAGTAGGAAAGCGTCCTCCGGGATACCTCCCTGGGGTGCTCCAATGTGATTCTCTAAATGATCAACCCACCATAAGATGACCCGCAGGCCCCCATTTCATAGGCAACCAGCCCCCCATCAGTTTGGTTCCATAACCCAACCCCATCACTGTACTGAGATGGCTCAGGGGTTCTAGCAGGGGCTTCCAGAACACCGACCCTTCCATCCCGGGATCCGTTCCAAGCTGTGCTCGACCATCACACGACCTCCCGCAAAAGCCAGGCGTATTTTCTGCCTGATGACCAAGCAGTACCACAGCCGACAGAGGTCCCTTGTTAGGCCCAGGAGGTTCTTCCCAACAGAGGACCCTGACGGAAAGGCCAGCCGACGGTCCCTGGCTCCTGGACTGGCATTTGTCTTGGAAAAGGTAGACGTAGAATGTGAACGAACGCTCTCCCCGTAGTGCTGTGGTATGGTAGGAGCATGACACACAGAGAAAGACGTAGTTTTAACAGTTGATATGGTGACGATAACAATGCCTTTGTTTCCTGTTTGCGACAAAGACCCTGCACTTTCTCCCGACGGCCCCTCAGAATGGTCCCGAGCACAGGGCTGCCTCTGAGCCTGCCTGAGGCAAGCAGACTCATGCAGGGATGCCCCGTGTGCCAGGGCCCCAGAGCCAGGAGGCAATGGCCCCACAGGAGGGGCCACCTCGCCTGGGGCCCCACCTGCTCGGCTCGCACGCAGCCCGCCGGAAGACAGGCCCGGTCTGTGTTCCTCGTGTGAGTCAAGGTTGGGCTTGCTGGCCTCAGGGACATCTCATTTCTAGCAAACCTCCAAGGGTCTTTGCCCATCCTCGGGACATACACAGTAGATCCCCACTGAAGAAACATGTCTCGTTTCCTTTAGCAGCTCTGCATGGTGTTGTGATGTTGAGTTGGGCATTCCATTAGAGTAGATCATGCCACGTTGACTAAATACACAATTATTGATTCTATGAGCAGGCACCGCCTTCGAAAACGTCGCTTGGCGGTCGCTCGGCTCCGCCCGGGAGGAACCACTTGGACACCTGCTAAACGCAGTTACACAGCAATACTGAAGTCAGTGTTATGTTAGAATGTGCTACCGTGTGTTAGCCTATTGCAGTCAAAGTCATAGTGATGTTAGAACTAAGTAACCCCTCACTGGGTGAACTGAATTGTTGCCCCCACCAGCCCTGCCCTTCGGTACTTGAGCTAATTCCCACATTGCCCTGGCTTCGTTCCTTCGTCGTGGGCACCCATCACGTGTTGCTCCTATCCTCAAACATGGGGGGACGGCAGACGCTGTGTCCCGTCCTCACAACCCCTGCCCCCTACCCCGCCCCACACACCATTAGGACCTGGACCTCTCTCAACATGGAAATCTCCCGGCCGTCCTCCTCCTGGGCTGGAGTGGTTTCCACAGACCGATGCTGTAGCCTCCCCACTGCCTAGGACCCACCAAACCTCACCAGCCTCTTCGTAGTGTTTGGGAGACATGTCTGAGCCCTGCGCCCGCCCTCCACACACTGGATGAGGTTCCGGGGTGAGGGTGGGGGGGATGTCCGCGGAGGGGAGGGGGCTGACGGGCTGGCCCACCTGGTGATTATTGGAATGGGGTCACAGCTTATTTATCTGGCCCCTACAGTTTCTGTGTTGCATATTTGTGTTTGAAGCATATTAAAATGAACTTGAGGGACCTTCTGTGATACGCACTTGATGTACCTGTCAGCCTGGCCCTCTTGGGCGCCAGGAGATTGAGGCTGGGGATCCCAGGCAGGGAGATGTTTGGCAGGCTGCGTTCCCTTTCTGCGTGTGTCAGGGTCAGCTGATGGTCGCCAAGAACCCCTCTCCCCAGACCCAGCAGGTCCAGGGGCCCTGCAGCTGTCTTCTAGCAAAGACCCCCAGCAGCCCTGCCCTGTAATCGGGAAGAGCTCAGAGGCTCTGCTCGGCAAGGTCATCTTCATGGGCTGGGGCATGTTCCCGCAGGAACAGGGCTGGAAAAGGACACAAAAAACTGAGTACGGTCCCCTCATCACTAATTTCAAAATCAGACCTAAACAGATCTATGGTTCTGCCCCAAAGAGAGTATGATGTGTCCTAAAGCCTGTCAGTTTTATCTGGATCATCACAGATCTGTCTCTCCAGTGACAATGGCCACTGTCATGCAGTTCCTTATCATGAGCTCTTTCCCCAAGCCGAGGGGCAGGGGCCTGGGGTGGGGGGAACACAGGACCCTGGGGAGCTCTTGAGTAGTTCCCCCAAATGCGGGCGGGACACCTCTTTCTACCCGAAAGCACTTGCCCTTCCCCCTCCCCCACCTCAGGTTGGCCAGCTGACCCTGCAGTGTCCACGTGGGCCTGCCCCTTCCTGGTGTTCCAAGGGAGACCCCCGGGTTTTGCAGGCATGTGGGAAACACAGCTACTCTACAGAGACCCCAGCAAGCCCGCCCTCCGGAACAGCTGCTGAACAAGGGACCTCTTACAGGCGATAAATCACGTCAAGTCACTTCAGGACATGACAGGATCACCACGGTTCCCCTCTGAACCACCCATGCCTTCAGATGGTTGATGCTGACTACTTGTTGATTAACGATCTTAATCGTCATCAACCTATCAAACCTTGTCCACCTGTCCCAAACTGTTTTTTTTTTTCTTTCGGGGTGTCTTGTGCCTTCCACTTTTATAGTCATTACTTTCCACTGCCCTTCCCCCTACACACGAGGGTAACAAGGTGCCCGGCAGCACCTCCACTTCACCAAAGTGAAGTGACTCGCCCGCTGGCACATGTAGGAAAAGAGGTCAGCGCTGGCTTCCTCCTGCCTGTAGAGAACCCGGGCCCCTCCCGCAGGTAACCTGCAGCAGGCAGAGGAGATCTTTGAAGACAGCTCACTCAGCGCCCTCCTCTGTGCCCAGGACCCTGGTATAGCCTGCCACCACCGCAGGGGCGATATGGACCGGTGCATCAGGAGGGGAGTGGTGGAGGAGTTAAGTGTGGGTCGATACCTCAAAGCCGGACACTTGCTGTCTGCTATTGGAGTTGAGAGCTGTTCTCATGGCTGGTGCCCCGTGATGTAGCATCCGTGTCCTGCTGTCAAGTGGCAACTCGGGGACCACAACCTGTCATCGCGTCCATGGTCCTCAAGGGTCAGAGTCCTGCCCATTGGAGAGTTTGGGCCCCCAGACTTAAAAAAACAAAACCACCACCAAAGGCTGGGAGCCTGTCCTGGGTGTTCATTCACTGAAGTTGGTGAAATCTCTTTTAACTTCCTGAAACAAAAACAGGGCCACCCAGGGTGACCTGAGCACCGCACCAAGCTCGGTTCTTCCCCTTAGCGGGGAGGGAAGATGCACTCAGGAGGGACGGGCTCCTTTGCCTCACTCACCACATCTCCCAGTTTCACCGGTGCCAGCACCGAACTGGATCAGATGGTGTGCAGCTCTGAGTTGGGACCAGCCTGCTGCATGTGACCAAGGGCTCCGCCTGGGGCTCTGTGCCTCCTGCCCAGGGAAGCAGGCCTGCGGCACCCACTCCCAGACCCCCGCACAGCTGCTGCTGTCTGCACAGTGGGTTCTTGTTTTAACCGCACCCAAATTAACGTAGTGGAGCCGTGCTGCCATCTGCCCTCCCCTGCCACACTGTAAAGCGCAGGCACTCAGTAACTTCATCATTTCAAGGAGCAAAACCTCCAAGCATCCATGGGAAAGGCCAACCTGCAGGTCTCTCTTCCCCAACTCAGTCCCGAGCCACCGGGATCCGGAGCCGAGGGGTTGGCCAGAGAGCTGCCTTCATTAGCAACGACGGCGCCGGTTTTTATTCACGAAGCCTTTACTCACATTGCATTTTATTCAACAGCAGCATTTACGGCTCAGTGGGCAGCCAGAGTTTGGTAAAATGACACTGTTCCCTTTTGAAGAAGGGCGGACAGGGTTACCCACAGTTGGCGTCCCAACCCTCCCTGCCGGTTCTGTCTGGTGGGTTGTGCAGGGCTGGGCAGGAATACGCCTAGTGAGGAGATCGGGAGGATTCCTCGGTGCTGCCGATGCCCAGCTGTTTGGGGGCAGCTTTTGACTTCCCAGAAGTGTTTCATAACCACACTTCCAGGGAAAGCTTGCTCCAGGTGGTTCCCCATCAGGCCTCCTGCCTGGAATCCCCCGTGGGGGCTCAGGGCTCCCTAAGAGATGGCTGAGATGGGGCCGGGAGGCGGGGCTGTTCCTCGGGCTGCCCGCCCCGTGCTGGCCACTAAGTGGCGCTGCGGCGCCGCGGGAACCGGGCTCCGGTCCAGTTCTGGGAGGTGGGCTCTAGGCTCAAGGCTCAGGGAGCTAGACGCTACTTGCCCGCGTGGCCACTCCCCGGGGCCGGGGACCCCGCGCTCGGCTCACCGGCGCCTGCAAGCTGTCAGCAGGACCTCTCGCGGAGCGATCGCTCGCGGGGGTCCGCCTCCTGCCAGCCCGCGGCCCCAGCCACAGGGCACACTCTGGCTGCTGCGGAGCAGGGAGGCGGCACTCAGTCCGAGCTTTGTGGCCTGGTGCCAAGCGGAGGACGGCGCAGGTGGGGGGCGGGGAGTGGCTTGCACTGATTCTCAAGTAAACCTGGTGTGAACCGGCCGCAGCTCCCACTGCCCTGCTCTCCTAGGGCTCCGGTGTCTGCTGAGAACACGCCCAGGTTGGGCCTTGCCTTCCGCTGGCAACCAACTTCCCCGTGTGGTCATTGAATCGCTGCTTGGTAGCGTCTGAGAGTTAAGACCCCTGGACAGAGTCGGCCTCCTGTCCAAGAAAAGGCTTCCTTCCCGGGGGATGGAGGGGATGCGGGAGAGAGGCAATCCCAGGGACAGCTGCAACCCTCCCCCGACCCCATCCTCCAGGACAGACTGTGTGCGCAGAGGGCAGGGCAGGGCTGAGGTGTACGTGGTGCGAGGCGGCTGGCACATGGGCACCCAAGGGCTTTGGCGAATGAGTGGCTTTATGCCCCTGGGGGGCAGCAATCTGGGTGCAAAAACAGACC